TAGGTCAACATTGACAAACCTACTGGTATATGAAGAAGCTTTGTTGGAGGGCTTGGAGAATAGGTACCAGGTTCATTCTGTATATACTGACTTCTCCAAGGCCTTCGACAGAGTTGATCATGATAGACAAATTGGGTGCTCATGGTGTGCATGGATGCTTCCTCGAACTGTTGAGAAGTCTGCTTACAGGCAGAAAGCAGGCGGTCAGGGTGGAAAATTACCTTTCCTCAGCTTTTCCCGTTGCCTCTGGTGTGCCCCAGGGTGGCCTTTTGTCGCCTTTGTTTTTTAGCATTTTTTTGAAAAACCTGAAAGAGGTTTTTCAGTATTGTTCTTTTCTATGTCTTGCTGATGATTTGAAGTGTTTTATGGTCATAAGAAGCCCAGAGGATGCCCAAAATTTACAAAGTAATATTGATAGGTCTATAAACCTAGCAGTCCCAAGGTGGGAAAAAAGTTCGGGAACTATATAATAATTAGGTGCTTTTTAGGTGCTAATTAGGGCCTCTAATTAAAAATTAGGCGCTCCTTTAGTTTTTGAGAAAATCAAAAAAAACTAAGGGACTGCTAGGTTTATAAAAGCTAGCAGTCACCTATAGTTAAAAATTATTTTTTCAAAATTTTCTTTTGTATCAGAATTAGGTGCTTTTTAGGTGCTCCTAAATAGTAGAAGAAAAAATAGAATTGATTAATTATTAACTGAGTTACAGAATTTTTTTAATTATTAGGGGACTGCTGACTTTACGTTTACATGTTGGTGTGTCAGAATGGAAAAAAACTTCGGGATCTATATAATAATAAGGTGCTTTTTAGGTGCTAATTAGGGCCTCTAATTAAAAATTAGGTGCTCCTCTAGTTTTTAAGAAAATCAAAAAAAACTAAGGGATTGCTAGCTTTATGAAAGCTAGTAGTCCCCTATAGTAAAAAATATTTTTCCGAAATTTTCTTTTGTATCAGAATTAGGTGCTTTTTAGATGCTCCTAAACAGTCGAAGAAAAAATAGAATTATTACCTGAGTTACAGATTTTTTTAAAATTATTAGGGGACTGCTGGCTTTACGTTTACAGGTTGGTGTGTCAGAATGGAAAAAAACTTCGGGATCTATATAATAATAAGGTGCTTTTTAGGTGCTAATTAGGGCCTTTAATTAAAAATTATGTGGTCATCTAGTTTTTGAGAGAATCAAAAAAAAAACTAAGGGACTGCTAGATTTATGAAAGCTAGAAGTCCCCTATAGTTAAAAATTATTTTTTTCAAAATTTTCTTTTGTATCAGAATTAGGTGCTTCTAAATAGTCGAACAAAAAATACAATTGATTAATTATTAACTGAGTTACAGACTTTTTTTAATTATTAGGGGACTGCCGACTTTACGTTTACTTGTTGGTGTGTCACAATGGCAGAAAAACATCGGGATCTATATAATAATTAGGTACTTTTTAGGTGCTAATTAGGGTTTCTATTTAAAAATTAGGTGCTCCTCTAGTTTTTGAGAAAATCAAAAAAAAAACTGAGGGAGTGCTAGGTTTATGAAAGCTAGTAGTCCCCTAATAATAAAAAAAAAATCTTTAACTCAGTTAATAATCAACCGATTCAATTTTTTCTTTGACTATTTAGAAGCACCAAGGAAGTACCTAATTGTGATATAGAAGGAAAATTTGAAAAAATATTTTTTACAATAGGGGACTGCTAGCTTTCATAAACTTAACAGTCCATAAGTTTTTTTTGATTTTCTCAAAAACTAAAGAAGCACCTAATTTTCAATAAAAGGCCCTAATTAGCACCTAAAAAGTACCTAATTATTATATAGATCCCGAAGTTTTTTTCCATTCTGACACACCAACAAGTAAACGTAAAGCCAGCAGTCCCCTAATAATGAGAAAAAATCTGTAACTCAGGTGATAATTAATTCAATTTTTTCTTCGACTATTTAGGAGCACCTAAAAAGCATCTAAATTTGATACAAAAGAAAATTTTGAAAAAATATTTTTTACTATAGGGGACTTCTAGCTTTCATAAATCTAGCAGTCCCTTAGTTTTTTTTGATATTCTTAAAAACTAGAGAAGCACCTAATTTTTAATTAGAGGCCCTAATTAGCACCTAAAAAGCACCTAATTATTATATAGATCTCGAAGTTTTTTTCCCACACCAACATATAAACGTAAAGCCAGCAGTCCCGTAATAATTTTAAAAAAATATGTAACTCGGTTAATAATTAATCAATTCTATTTTTTCTTCGACTATTTAGGAGTACCTAAAAAGCACCTAACTCTGATACAAAGAAAAAATTTGAAAAAATATTTTTTACTATAGGGGACTGCTAGGTTTTATAAACCTAGCAGTCCCTTAGTTTTTTTTTGATTTTCTCAAAAACTAGAGGAGCACCTAATTTTTAATTAGAGGCCCTAATTAGCACCTGAACAGCACCTAATTATTATATAGTTCCCGAAGTTTTTTTCCACCTTGGGACTGCTAGGTTTATAGAACTGACCTTGATAGATTTTATAACTGGTGCACTAATAATAAACTTTATTTTAATATTGGAAAATGTAAAATTATAACCTTTTCAAGGAAGAAGTCACCTTATATTCATACTTATTTTCTTAATAACGATGAAATTATGAGAGTTGAGACCATCAGAGACCTTGGAATTTTCTTTGATTCAGAACTAACATTTGCTAAACGTATTGACACTGTTGCGAACAAGTCCCTAAAAATGTTAGGTTTTATGCTCAGGTGCATTTAAATTGGGCATACCAAGGGAAGATATTAGTTTTGTTGATTTAATGTCGATTCTTAACTTAACTTTATTGGAACAACGTCGACAAATCTTTGATCTTTGTATGGTTTTTAAAATAGTTAATAATGCTAATGATTGTCCTGATTTATTATCTAGAATTGGTTTGCAAATACCTTCTGGAAACCGCCAAAACAATTTGTTCTATCTTGAGTTTCATAGAACAAATTATGGTTACAATTCTGCATTAACTAGAAGTTGTAGAGCCCTTAATTCTTCAAATATGGACATATTTAATACAAACTTAACATCGTTTAGGAAAAGCATTTCTGGGTCGTTAAGATGATTTGGTAAATGTGTGAAATTAAATACCTGTGTATTTTTTTATATTTTGTTATAATTCCGATTATTTGATATTCAATTTAGTCTAATTAATGTAGGTATCTATATCAAATTGCAATATATTTATACCACCTAGTACCTACCATACCTACCAAACTTTTATAATTTAAGTAACTAGTGTAGTATATCCATTGTTTATTTATTTATACTTTCTATATATTTGTACATTGTAAACTGTAAAATGGCTTGTCCGTAAATAAATCTACCTATCTATCTATTTATCTGTGATAACATAAATGTTTTTAAAAGATTAGTGAGAGCTCATGTATAATTGGCATAGTTTAAGGTTACTTCTTTGTATTTGTGTTTGTTTTTTATGGTACTTGTTTCATTTTTTATATACAAATATATCTAGTTTTTACCGAACTATTATTGTATTTGTATTTGTATTTTATTTTACATATTTCTTTTTTTTTTATTCACATATCTATCTATTTTTTACCGAAATAATATTATTAATTTTAAATTTCATTTATTATGTATGGATTTTGTATATAGCATTATGCTAAATAAAGATTATTATTATTATAGTAGGTACCTAATCGAAACGAAAAAAAAAATTGAATATGAAAACCAGAAATCGTACTTTGAGATAAAAAAGGTATGCATAATAGAAACTAATTTGTGTTTTTTTTTTTTTGTAACTGACAATCTCAAGTAGACAAGACAATGGCTCGATTTCTTTCAAATAAGTACGTATTTTTCCCACTGCAGCGCCAATTATTATTACCGACCCAAAATGAATACTGCACACGTGAGAAATTCTCTTTGCCGCTGATTTATACCAGAACGATTTCATATACCGTTCCAAAAGTGGACCTTAGTAACTTTTGTCCGGTAAAACCTCGTTTTATCGTCTCCTTATAAACGAACTTCTCGTAAGACGCGAAAACTCTCAACGTATAAAATGACATATAATTAGGTTGCTCCGCCGAGTATAATTTATGCCCAAGTAATAAACAAGGATGGGATATTTGAGTAAATAAATTGAGAAGAAAAAGAAGGACGATATATTTTATAACGGTGCTTCTTTTCATAAAAGCTTGATAAATGGGTTATTATTGGATTTTATATGCACAGTGACCCTTTTAATGCATTAACGAGCCCTTTATTATGATATAGCATGTGATTAGGGCTATTTTAATAAATCTTCATTGGATTTTCACCCTTATGGCAGAGGGAGTTTTGGTAGTAGATTAAACAATTTGATATGGATCTATAGGTATTGTTTGAAATTTACTTCCACGTAATTTTTGTCCCGTTAAAATAAAATACAGACAAAAACTCCTTAAAATCTACAGATTTGCATAATTTCGTAAAATATTAATATTACTGATTGTAATCGTTATGAATGGAGCTTTGTCCGAATTAATCCATATTGATATTTTGGCTTATCTCTTGATATAATAGAAAATTCTTTCATATAGTTATCATTTTGAAATCGTAAACTTTTTTATTGTTCTATGGAGTGCTAATGGGGTCATAAAAATATCACTAAATTGTCTCCATTGTTTCGATTTTTATAGCCAATTTCACACAACTAATTGCAAAAAACATAGCAATTGTCAGTCAAAGAAACAAGCTATAAATCCACGTCTTGTTTTTGTATAAGGGATCGTCTATCTCTCCCTTTAAGCTCCAACTTCAATATTTGCCGAACAAATTTTTTACCCTTGTCGACACCCCATCTGTCAAAATCGTCGCTAATAAGTCAAGTTGCAATTTGGACTTCTCGGCGCCAGCAGTGCCCCTTTTCCATCCCCCTCTATATATCCAAACTTTGAGAAAGGTTGATATTATTTATTGGACAGAATACAAGAAGGGAAATGGTTGCCTCAAGGAATTTTGAAATAAAAGTTCTTACCTGGCAAAAAAAGCAGCTGCAGCTGAAGCTTGAGCCAAATTAGTCCCAACACTATTAACCGCGTAAACATACTTAGTTTCAGCATAAACACCGAAAAGTCCCGCACTTTCGCACACTTTTACATTTTGCTGATGATAAGCCAAAGATTGTAGCTGTCTACCAGCAGCAACTTGTTGCTGACATAGCGCTTGAGCATTAAGGGTTGCCAAATTATTATTTTTAACTTTTTTAGTTGGCAAACGACTCTTGAGATTGTTTTTCGCTAAAGGCATTTGAACAGTTTTGGCGGAACGTCCGTTATTGCCGGTTTTGGGAGCGCGTCTGACTCCGGAAGGCTCCGGAATTGGTCCGGTTGAGGTAGGAACTGCCACTGGTTGTTGGAATTTCGCGCCGCGTCCATTCACTACTATTGGTGACGTCAGTGGTGGAGTCTCCCACTCTCGGTCGTGGACTCTTCCGCAAGAAGAGGCCCTCGGATGATGGTGATGATAGCCGTTTATGTTGCGTTCGTAGGAGGGCACGTAATCGTTCTTTTTTATCATGTCCAAATCGATCTGAAACAAAAATGCATTTTGGTTTAGTTTTAAATGAAAAATGGATTATGTGATTTCAATTTTAGAGAAAACGCACTACAGGAGTAAAATCATATTGGTGAACAAGTTAAGTTTATCTGAGTTTACAGAAAGTTTAAAATTGTGTGTCAAACTCATCAAATTTTAAAGTAGTTAATTATTTCATTTTCCTTACTTCAAATATTTGTTGGCATCATCGGATTAGGAGGTGATTTGCACTCTTGTATTTAACTTACTGACTAATCAAGCCTCTCAAAGAACTGGTGGTGTGCCCAAAGAGCTTGAAAGTCAAAATACTTAAAATTGGATTAGATCCCTAAATGAACCCTTCCATACACTAAATTATTCTTAGATTTGAAACCGAAATCTATGAAAAAAGGCACTCAGAAAAATTGAAAAATTGATAAATCACCCCAAAATTGCTTAACACGATTTTATCTCAGGAACTATAAATGCAAATGAGCTGAAATTTTCAGGGATTGTAGTCCTTTGAAAGGGATAAAATTCAGTGAAAGTTTCAGCTTTCTATCTATAATAGAAAAAAAGTTATGACCTTTCAAAGTTTTCCAAAATCTAAATCATAAGGTAGGTACCTTCTTACTAAAACGATAAAATTTCAATTTTTTTTGTATCGAGATTTTGTATCCTTATAGTCAATCAACATACCCCAAACTCAATACACTAAATTATTCTCAGATTTGAAGCCGAAATCTATGAAAAAAGGCACTCAGAAAAATTGAAAAATTGATAAATCACCCCAAAATTGCTTAACACGATTTCATCTCAGGAACTATAAATGCAAATGAGCTGAAATTTTCAGGGATTTGTAGTCCTTTGAAAGGGATAAAATTCAGTGAAAGTTTCAGCTTTCTATCTATAATAGAAAAAAAGTTATGACCTTTCAAAGTTTTCCAAAATCTAAATCATAAGGTAGGTACCTTCTTACTAAAACGATAAAATTTCAATTTTTTTTTTATCGAGATTTTGTATCCTTATAGTCAATCAACATACCCCAAACTCAATACACTAAATTATTCTCAGATTTGAAGCCGAAATCTATGAAAAAAGGCACTCAGAAAAATTGAAAAATTGATAAATCACCCCAAAATTGCTTAACACGATTTCATCTCAGGAACTATAAATGCAAATGAGCTGAAATTTTCAGGGATTTGTAGTCCTTTGAAAGGGATAAAATTCAGTGAAAGTTTCAGCTTTCTATCTATAATAGAAAAAAAGTTATGACCTTTCAAAGTTTTCCAAAATCTAAATCATAAGGTAGGTACCTTCTTACTAAAACGATAAAATTTCAATTTTTTTTTTATCGAGATTTTGTATCCTTATAGTCAATTAACATACCCCAAACTATATACACTAAATTATTCTCAGATTTGAAGCCGAAATCTATGAAAAAAGGCACTCAGAAAAATTGAAAAATTGATAAATCACCCCAAAATTGCTTAACACGATTTCATCAGAAAAAAAGTTATGATTTTTCAAAGTTTTCCAAAATCTAAATCATAAGGTAGCTACCTCAGTACTAAAACGATGAATTTTCAAAATTTCTTTTGTTGAGATTTTGTATCTTGATCGTCCTTTGGAATCCCCCAAACTTCATACACTAAATTAATCTGAGATTTGGATCCGGGTTCTATGAAAAAAGGCACTCAGAAAAATTGAAAAATTAATTAATCACCCCGAATTGCTTAACACGATTTTATTTCTGGAACTATGAGTACAAATGAGCTGAAATTTTCAGGGATTGTAGTCCTCTACTGGGATATGAATCGGTGAGAATTTCAGCTTTCTATCTCTAATAGACAAAAAGTTATGATTTTTTAAAGTTTACAAAAATACATATTGTAATTCCTTTAGAGGTCCTTCTAGCTTTCAAATTGACTATTCCTAAGACTTGTGGTGTGCCCGAAGGGCTCGATATACATTTGAGATTTAAATTCCCAAAGAAAGGATCCAATTTTAAACACACTTTTTTCATGAATTGTGATCTCAAATTGGTGCTGAGTCCTTCAGGCACGCCACAGGTTCTCGAGCACTTAATTAACACACTAATTAAACTTCTCAAGAAACTGTCGTGTGCCCAAAGAGCTCAGAATTCTCAAAATTCAAATTATTATGAAATTTTAAAAATCACTTCTGAAAATTGGGACCTACATTTTTGCCAAATCCTAATTAAGTTTCGAGAAGCAAGCCACAGAAAGGTTTTGATGTCCTGACCATGATTTCAATAGTTTACTCAAACTCCAATCCAATTAAAAGTCGAAATTTCACCAAAAAACTTACCTAGAGCTTAAAAGACTAATTAAAATTGATGAAGAATGCACTAACATTCAATTTTCCCACTCAAAATTAAGTACAAAAAAGAAAAAAAAAATTAAAATTCAGCTCGCGTATGATGGGGAAAAAGAAGTCGAGGAATGCGGCAAAAGATGATTTATGTAGTCATCATAATTAAAACGTGTTCCCGCTTTATTGGAAACCGGGGGGGAAAATGGAAAATTAATTTTCTAATGACTCCACTAGGCTTTACAGTCTTTAGAGGAGACACACAATAAATAATGATTAAAATTGTCCGCATTTTCCTGTTAAAAAAAAAAATGACTCAATTTTATATAATGTGATTTTTTTTTTTTTCATTCCGAAACATCAATTCCTTCATCATGACGAATGTCATGCGATGTGAGTGTGGAAAATCCGATTTTTCTCTCCCCTTTTAAAAGAGATTACGACTTTAGGCACTAACTTTTCAGATTTTCTTTTATTTTTATGGGGCCTCCTCTTCAAGGGTGGGATGATGTATTATTCAGTTTTTTCATCGCTGACTTTTTAGTTTTAAGACTTTTCGATCTTATGTCAGGAAAATCTTTGACACAGTTAAAATTTTTCCTTGGCTCAATTCTATTGTATTGCATTTAGGAGTGGTTTCCAACCATTAGGCCCTCTAAATGTTGGCTTTTAACTTTTATTTACTCTCTAAAGCGGCAAATTGCATGTCGTCTGGCGATAAAAGAAGAAAATTCTTGTGCAATTTTCCTAATACTCAAAAAAAAATCTTATATTTATATAAGAGGGGGATGACGTAGCGATAACCCCAAAAGTTTTCCCAATTAATACTTGGAAAATTGGAAATATGGAATGCGCAAAGTCATCGAGAGAAAATTAAGGGATTTTTTTTCTCTCAGCAACTTGAAAAAAAAAATTAATTCTTTGTCGGTCTGTGCACACACAATTATTTGCTTTGAGGTTTTATTGTGGCTCTTGTGCGTTATTTTTAATTACTGAAGGGAGAATTACAAAGTACAGGGAAGTACTTTGAAAGTGTCTGAAAATTATTGCAAAGCTTTGGCGGTAGAGTGAAATCCAGCCCTGGAATTATCCAATCCAGAATCTGCATGTATAGCAATTCGTGTGTTGATTGCACAAAAGTTGGGGTGAGCTAAAGAGGGGCGTCGAAAGCCCGAAATGCTTTATATATTATTTCTGTCTGATGCCTTTAATCTCCACCCCCTCGACTATTATTGCGATAATTTTCTTCTTTTGACAGAAATCAATCAATCAATCTTAATGTCGTACGCCGCCCCCTGTTTTTGATATCAATCCCGGATTTATTTTCTCTCATTAAAAGTCATGATGAGAACATCCGCAATATCCATTTCCGATTTTAAGTTTTTTAGACAATTAAGTAATAAATTTTATTCTGACAATTGTCGGCGTTTGTTGTGTGTTGTGTGGGGCCTTATTCACCATTGTGTTTTGTATGAGTGATTGAAATAATAATTTGGACTAAAAATCTTACCGATAAAAAAAAGTACAATAGCTTAAAACACTTAGTCTGAGAAAGCTAAATGGGCCATTAGGCGCTCAATTGAGCAAAAACCACCCTCTGGCAAGTGGAAATATATCAACAGTTGCAGAATTTTCTTTCCTTGGCCACGTAATGAGCCTTAACAGGGGACATTGCAGTTTTAGGTGACTCATACTGTATACAGGGTGTTTCACGTCTATTTACATATCTATTTATCATAAAAATGTTCCTATTTTTTTTTTCTAAATTTTTTTGTTTGAATTTTTGTCGATTCCCGGCAGTTGAATCTTCAATATTTTTCTTTAAATAGAGAAAATTCAGAAAAATAGACAAAATATGAGAGCCTAGAATAGACAAACTACGTCTTTTTGTCTAACAGTTTTTACTCAATTTGCTTTGAATTTTCACTTTATTTTTCAAATTTTTCGTCTGAATTTATGTCGATTCCTGACTCTTGAATCTTCAATATTTTCTAAGCTTCTTTAACACATTGCATGCCACGTGTGTATTCGGAAAATATCCCACGAGGCCAAGAGTGTTTTTCTCTTAATTTTTATTAAAAAGTGGTTGAAATAATAATAATGATATTATATTGTTGTGCTAGATGAAGAGTCTTGGACATGTAAGGGGCTACGTCAGTCAAATATGCGCGACGATTTTTCTTTATTGTTTCTATATACCTATCTCGCACAAGCCACTCTTTAAAATCCTATAGAAAATATACGTATCGTTGGGCAGGTATGATTGACATAGCCCCACAGCTACACTTACCTTTAATAGTATAATCATGCAACAAATGGGATCCTAACCTATTATGGTGGACGGCTTCCCCAGGGGACACCAATTACCACGAAGAAATAATCAAATTATGATTTTTTGCCCTGGATATCAGTGAAACTTAACTTCAATTGTTAAAAGGAAGTTATTGAAAATATCTACAGCCAAATGCTTGAAGTCTTATACCAAACATGCTCAACTAGAAGTAGCTTACCAAAATTCTGATTTGAAGGGCAGTTAGGATCATAGCTTTGGGAATTATTATTTTTTCAATAGCTCATTCCTCCACAATAGCCTACTGCCGAATGACGAATATAAAAATAGATAAGAAAAGATAGCTTGTTTACATTACCCTGATCCCTTTTTTTCTCACTTCAGTGATGAT